CTTCCTACAGAGCAGCAACAGCTTCTACATGTGGGGAAAACAGCCTCGGTAAAAAAGTACCAACAAAACAATACAACTTTCATTTAAAACCAGCCTCAGTTTCAGAGAAAGAAAACATGTCCTACATTGCTAATTTATTTTATCCGGTAAAGAGTAATTTTAACCCCATGTGTGATTGGAAAGCATGGTACAATTTTCAGGAGCTTAAGATATCAGCGGGAATATAATTTTAGATATATTTCATGCATATAGATGTATTTTAAATCATGCCACCCCTGAGATCCAAGGCAGGAAATAACCTGGAAGCGGAAAACTCAAGAGCAGTGTGGGGAGGACAAACACAAGGCTTGCCCAAACCAGAAAGCACGTGGAGGTGTTTATGAAGGAGCAATGATCAAAGCCTCAGCCCTCATGTTGTTCTACTGCCACCACTTTAAGGACCATTTGCTGCTTAACAGCAGCAAGAAAAGAATGACTGCTCTTCACTGCAGCAGAGTCCCTGCAGCTCTCAGATAACAGCAGCACATTCACTGTTGAGAGAAGTTTTCTTTTTGTCTTTTTTTTTCTTTTTTTTTGGCCTATGAGGTGTTACTCCTGTCCCCTGAGGACCAATTGGTGTTCCTACCTGTACAGAGACCACCAAATGGAACTACTACAAAAATAACTGAAGTTGCTCCAGAGCATGGCAAAGTGCCTCAGAAGAGAAGTCACCTAGAACACATTTTGCTCACACTTCCAAGCTCAGTCTCAACTTCTTCAGCTTCTTCTGTGGCCTCTTCCAAGACAATGCAATAGGATACATCCATCTTAGAATTATAAGACACTCATCACAGTGAGGATATTGACTCTTCCCAAAAAGTCACACTAAGTCCAATCCTAATGGAACTGACTTCAACATATAAAACACATCTTTGTGCAAAGCCATCTCCAAGATGCTCTTCCAAATAAGCCCTTTCGAAAACACACCCAAAGCAAACAGTGAACCATACTTTATTCTGAAGGAACCACTAGACAAAACCCAATTGGTTTGGCTGAGAATACTCTTGACATTCATACACCTCCATTTTAGATACCATCAAAATAGGCACCTGCAGTAACGCAGAATTTTCTTTTTTAATTTGATCTATTGTAATTTCTTTTACAGGGTTAGAACTTGAGGAATTTAAAACAAAAATAAAGCCTAAAGGTTACTAACAATATCTCCTCCACCTGATGCTCAGCGTGAGGCTGATTTTGTCATCACAGTGTGCAAATTCTGCCTGGGTGAACACGGACAACATAACCTCAAATTAATTTGAAATAGTCACCATGTCCATACCAGGGTGGATGCTACACTGCTGGCAGGGATAAATAAGGGGAAGTTGTAACAGCAAATTGTCTAAGTAAGTCTTGTTTGGGCAGTGCAGCAGAGCTTACCAGCAGCAATGGCCACAGCAACAGCCCAGGGCACTGCCTCAGTTTCTTCTGAGGCTTTGTGCAGCACAGAAAACACCAGTCCAAGGATGCTGTTCTTCTCAGAGCTCTGCTTCAGCTCTGCTGCTGGAGACGGCACACAGCTGCTCTTACCCAGGCTAGGGTGCTGTTCTGGGACCCTACTCTTCATGCTATGCCATCATTTCTGCCCTGCAACACCTCCCACACTGCTCCCCCTGTCTTGTGCAGCTTCCTGCACATAACTCACATCAGCTCTTTGCATGTCCTTTTTTAAAAGTCACAGAAAACCAGTAGTGAGGAACAAAATGATCTGTTGAATGTACAAGATCCTTTTTGATGGCTACAAATGCTTCTAGAAAAATAAAACCTCTGAGCTTTTTACTGTTGCTGTGGGTTTTCCTTCTCTATCTCACTGTTTTTCTTGTAGAGTTTAGAAATAAACGAGTGGACTTTAGAAGAAAGGAGGAAACTTTGCACACACACTTTCTACTCTTTTCTTTTCCTCCCCACTTTCTTAGATTTTTATTCCCCAACTCTTCCTCTTCTTCTCATTGAGAAAAAGGGCAGAACTCCCCTCCTTCCTCTTGATAACATTACCTGATACTAAATTTCTGAAAAAATCAGAAGTCTTAACTTTTTCTTCTCAAGTTTCTTCAACTGTTCCGAACCCTGCCAATGATATGACAATTAAATATTTCTAGGAGGAAAAAAAAAAATCTGTAAAAACTCTCTGCACATGTGGGGCTTGCTGCATATCAAGAGGGGTTCCTCCAAAGACTTCAGAGAGGTCTCACTGCCATACACATCAAACACCTTGTGCTGCCCTGCTGCCACCGTATATACACCTTAAGCATCTGAAGAGTCAAACTCCAGAAACACATCTGCTAATCTAGTGCTGATGGGGTTAATGAGATCAAAGCCAGATTCCACTTGGTGCTTAGCATAGAGACACTTCCTATATAGGGCCAGGGTGATTGTAGCCTTCCCTCAGATCACCATCACACTGAAATCAGCATCAAAATAACACAAATCAGCCCCTACTCTGATTATAATCAGTATTCCCACTTTCTGTCACCTTCCAACTCCATCAACCCCCACCCTTCCACATTAAAGTCAGTCAGTGTTTAATCTTCCTAATTCACATGTTTATTTTCAAACATTTTTCTATCTCCTCTCCCACCTTTCCCTCACCACTGTTAATCAGTAAGGGCTTCACCAGTCGATGCAGGCACTCACCTTTTCACCCAGCAGACAAAAGGATCCCAAAATTCCGATCCCAACACGCAAGTAGGGAAAGAACAGCTTTCCTACCATCTTCTTTTAAGTCTCTCCCGGCAAGTGCAGGAAAGGGCCTAACAAAGCTGTATGCAGCCAATTGTGTTATCAAGGAACTTGGCACTACCAGCTGATACTTGATTACTATTCATCCCTCAGGAAAATAAAACACCCTTTTGTAGTAAAAGTGTAACCGGTTACTATGATGCATTGCATATTAACAAAAGCACTTTTTTACTAAAATTACAGATGATGAAAGCCTGGAAACGGAATCAGACCAAGGTAACCCGTTGTTTCTACATGTTTAACCAAGACATGTAGACAGTTTAACCAAGATTTTCACAATGCTAAGAAGAAAGTGGTGGTGAGTTATGTCACACATTTGTACATAAAATGGTAATGAGTTCTGTAAAACTAATAGTAAGGATAACATCTTCTGTGGTAGTGACCTTTCTGGGGTCGCATCCTTTGTATGCGACGGCCAGCACTGTAGTAACCTCAGTTTTCACAGGGTCTGTCTAACATTTTTGTGCCCTTTTTGAAATCCACACAGAAGTTTTCAATATGCTTTCCTATTTCCTTTATTTTAGAATTATTTTTTAACCATGAGTACTTATTAACCATGAGTGCTTATTAAAGAACTTAGCTATCTGAAAGGCATATTTTACACTAGGTAGAAGGGTAAAATTTGCTGGTTTGGTGGAATAATCTCTACTTAGGTGGTGAGGAACCATTCCAGAGTATTAAAGGATTTGTTTGTTTGCTAATCTACTTAAGCACCCATAGGCCTTAACATCCACAGCTTGTGTGCTTTAGGGATCTTTCATGTCGGTGGCCACTCACAATGCAGTAGCTCTGCATAAAAACTGCAGATTTAGGCTCATGGCAGTGCAGCAAGTTGACTAGTGGGACACTCACCTGAAAAGAGCTATGTGGCCTTGGTCCACTCACCTGCCAAATCCTGCTCTACATTCCTCATAAGCAATGCCTGCCTGTATGCAGCACAGGCAAGTCACTCTGCTACTTGCATCTTGCACTTCTGCATCAAAACCAACCAACTCTCTGTTAAGACAGCAATCCAAAGACCATGGAAACACCTCACATAATGCAAATAAGGCTATACGAACACATTTCACATCCTCAGTTTGGTAAAAACTTGCTGACAGAAAACGGAGGTAGCTTTAAACGGCATTAAGCAAAGCTGGCTTGATGTAAGCAGCTACCCCTGTGTGAAATTTGAAGCTCTTGCCAGCAGTGTGGAGGGAAGACATGACCTCATTATTCCACAGCCCAGATAATCCGTTCCTGGATAAAGTGAGAGCTGACAAGTATTTCACCTTGAAGGTTATCAAAGCCCTTTCCACACTCTGCTGATGTGGAGCCATTTACTTTACCAAACAGGGATGTGAAAACTCCTGTCTGTTACTAAAAAGATAAAAAAATCAGAGGTGTGTGTGGTTAAGAGCACGCTGCCATGCCACACAGACACAGGTACTGAGAGGAAGAGAACAACAGCATTTCCAGAACCATTTATGCAAACAGGATATATTTGCACAAGTTGATAAAATATTTTTCTCAGTATTTTGAGAGTTACTGTTCTCAATTCCTTCCACCTATTCTAAGGCACTTTCTGTAGATAATTGCCATGGGGCCTCTCTTGACATCAGTTATCTCTTTTGGACCTCCAGAAAGGTAGTTCAGCTCTTAGCTGTGATAAATCACTGTCTGGACTGTCTTTAAGCATTTCTTCAATGAGTACTGAGGAAAGCGAGAGCGACTCCGCTCCCTTAATCTTTTAGATGAATCCAAGCTTTATTGCCATGGGTCTTGCATAGGCACAGGCAGTCAACACACTAGCCTCAAATTTTGTGGGAAGGATCTGAAATCTATTTGAGCAATGACTCTACACTAATTCAAAGGGAAAGAATGTCATCTGGTTGCCATTGCCTTTTCTTGCCATCCCTGGGCTCTTGCTGGAGGCCTGCCATGCAAACACCAGGGTTTGGTCCTTGGCGGACTAGCCAACAGAGAAAACACAGATTTATCAGGACTCTGGAGCCCTTGGATTTAAGTCTGCAGGGAAGAATGACACCATTTAAAATATTTAACACAGAACATATAAAGCCCTGGAGGAAATGCATGGCTGAGTTTCCTACAGAAAAGATTAATAAATGAACAGGTAGCAGTTGCAAAAAAAAGCAGACACAAGCCCCAAGATTAGGAATAGGTTTCAGTTGAAATATTTGTCTTACAGATGTTAACCTGCCATTCAAAACATGCGCAACTACAACTGTGATTCTACTCCCTAGTAAAAGCTCTTTATTAAATTGCACACATTAGATCACCTACAGTATTTTCTTTCATGTCAGGAAAAAAAATGTGTCAGCAAAAGCAGAAGATTTTGGGGTTCATAGTAGGTAAAAATTACATCAATTCTCTACAACCATAACAAGAACATTAAATACAAATACAAAAGGGTCACAATGTAAAACCAATCTTCCAAATGCAACTCTTTTATAGGTTAGCTCCATATTGATCAGGACCTCAAGACACAGTTTGGAGCAGCTACAAAAAGCTTTACATAGGCCACCTGGCTCCTGAGTTCAGTGGCCATCAGTTTATGCTGGAGTAGCCAAAATGCAAAGATTATTCACTGTCCTTCACCCCACCTGTCCTTATGTGCTGGCTTTGTCAGTGGTGGCCAAAGAGTGGGCCTCCCCATCATATGTGTCATGAGCAGGTCAAGGCGCAGGTCAGTTTGTCCCAGCTCCCACTGCAAGCCACTTCCTGCACCCTGACTGCATTAGCACATGGGTAATCCCAAGCCACAGGAGTGTGAAGGAAACACATTCAGTTTTGTCCCAGCTTTGCGATCACAGGTAGCAGGGAGAATTCTTCATGCCTGCTTTTTACTAATTCTTTCACAGGCTTTTGGCAAGGTTTTGACAGTAGGTGTCTGCCTGACTCTTCATCTTCCAAGTACAATTGCTTCTAAGTTTTCTCCTACTTATCACTACATATTGAGCTACCCCAACCAGTGGACATTTGCTTTTCTAGTTTTGGTAATACTGTTTCGCCCATCCAATTGACTGGTTTCTCTGGGAGAGCCAGAAACATCCAAAAGCCTTAAGGGTCTGCCTCCTCCACAGCACTGATACTTGCCTGTTGCAATAAGGAGAGTTCTCCCGCCCATGAACTTGTGTCCATCAGTTAACTTCAGCTTAATGGGCAGTACACACTATAAAACACCAGGCTTTAGAGTTTGGCTTTCTCTCTACTCCTCTCCACACCTCATCAGCACAGAGTCTGAAGCCTTCACAGCAAAAAGCCATCTATAGCCAGCCTTCCTGCAGCAAGAATCGCCTGATGTTCAGTTATAGGAGCATTATGTTTGGCACGTGCCCAGTTTCTGAAGGAGAAGAACCACAGTTTGACATTTAAAATGAGTAAAGAAACTGAAAGGAAAGAGCCAGCATACACAAGCCAGAAAAATAAACTTTCAGGGTACAATATTTGAAAGGGCTGACAAATCTAAATCCAGTGATTTTGAATATCCATCTTTGAAAATTATCTTGTCCCTGATGTTCACCCTTGCACCTGAGCTCAGTAAAGCTATGTTCTGTTCTCATTTAGTGACTGCAGAAAAATTATCCACAATAAACTTCATTCTTTTTCCAGGATTAAGAATTGTATATCGCACCTGCAGTGAAAATCTGGTTTATACATTAGGGAGAACACAGGACTGAACTTTTTCTCAAGTTAAGTGAAGACATTTTTTCATATTGATCATAAATATTCTCCTGGTCATTTTTGGCAAACCTGTCAAAAGACATTTTATGCCAATTTCAAAGACGCTGTTATTGGAGGAAAAAGTTAGACTTTGTATTTAAACAAAATGTGCCTGAAACGTTGAAAAGCTGATTTAATGTTAACAATTCTGCAACTCAAGCAGTATTGGGGCCAAAAACTGGCTCCAAAAGATAATGGCAGGCAGGAAAAAGACTGTATTTCTAAAGAACGTAAAGAAATAAGTCTAGGAACCACTTCAGCAGTTAAAAAGAGGATGGAAGAGAGAGATACTTCTCAGATTCATTCTCTTCTATTCACAGGGGCTCTATCATTTTATTAAAATTAAATCTCAGGGAAACATCCAACAACAGTAAACGCGATTAACCCAGCAGAAGAAAGAATGCCTCTATCTTTGATTTACTCTGAAGCATGGAGGTGTTCAGGCTTATATGTCCTCACACTGCAAGCAATTTGATTTGGTGCCAAGGCACAATGTGTTCAGTAAAACACCCTGTGAAAAGTTCAGCTCTGAATTAAAAAACACTCATTTAAATGACAGGTTAATGAAAGATACTTCAGAAGTGCTCTGTCCTACAGTGCCTTCATCAGTAAGTTCCAATGAGAGGGTGAGGGTGCAAAAGTGTTCACCAGGCTGGATTCTGAAAGGACTAGGTTGCTGATATGCTTTGGCCAAAACTGAATTTTTGGTTACTTTCCAGATTTTTGTTAAGTTTCAAGTTGGTAGTTCATGATAATGGCGATCTGTCATTAGGAAAGAGAAGGGGAATTGCCACACATTCCTTTAAATCTCAATTTATCTGTGGCTTGGGATGGAGCAAGATTTTGAGTGGAATCAGTCTTTGGGAGCAACAGAAACCTTCTAGGGACTTCAGATTTTAACAGTATCTTGCTTTTTTAAAAACCAAGTCCTACAAACCCAACGTAAAAAAAGGCAGCTTCCTACATTTAAAATCCCTTCAGGCATGTAGGTATGTATCAAGAGATTTGGCACCACGTGGATACATGTGGTACTGTGCAGATGAGAGGACAAATGTTTGCAGGGATAGGTTCTTTCCTAAAGCATGAACAGCAGTCATGGACCAGCATTCTCTCCTAATGTCCTAAAATTCAATGTGCAAATTCTCACTAGTGGCAACAGAAGCCCACGTACAGAAAGGGCAGCCAGCTCCTACCTGCCTCTCTCCGTTCAGATTCTTGCGTTGGTGGACATTCCCAAGGGATCTGACTGAACACTTCCCAAGAAATGGCGATTTTGTTTTGCTACGGATCTGGAGCATCAATAGTGTTATTTTTAGGATATAAAATTATAAACAGAATTCATTATTGGCAGTAAAAACTAGTTTTTCTTTCCTTCCTTCAGGAACACACTCTGGAGGAAAGTACCAGGGGATAACAGTGTGGCATTTAATTTTTGGAATTATCAAAAATGCAATGGTTATAATAAACAGTTCACAACCTGAGTTTCAAGATGTAGTATATAAAAGTTAGAAAAAGATGATAAAGTAGTTTCAAATACAGTCTTGATCCCCAAGGCAACTTTTCCAATTTATAATTTTCTTAATTCCCTCTGTCTGTTGTACTATTAAAAGGTCAAACAATGAAGAAAAAAAACTGCCCATACATCACATGAACTAAGTGAACGACATGCTTTTTCTCATGCTCTAACCCTTTTCAGAGATAGTAAAATTAAATGCTAATTATAACAACAAGAGTTTAAAATAAAATAGAAAAGTTGCTATATAAAAATAGTATATTTCTGTTTAAAAGCTGCAAATCATGTACAGAGTGGAACTAAAAGAGAAAAACCATAATCAAGGCCAAGAGATCACTTTTAAAATTTCATATTGATAACTTAAGTAAATATAGTAGAAGTCTCTCTTAGATATACACAAATTTCTCATAAATTTATGGAAATTTCTAAATAATTACTACTCTTCTGAATATATATCTAATGGCTGCAAGAAAGAAAAGTCTTCAGAACCATCGATAAACAAATCCAAAAAATAACTTTACACAGAGCCTAAAAATATATTTGTTTACTTCAACAAATGAAAGCTGGATTTGGCTAAAATTTTGACCTGGAAAGCCTTCTATTTACCTGCAAAACACCAGGAAAACACAGAATTCCCCACTGAAATTGAGGGGGTTTATTTTTTTTTCTTTCCCATTTTTATTCAAGTTTGTATTGTTTTTGCTTTATCTTTCCCTCTATTTTTCATGTATGGAATAGAAAAGCTCAGTCTTTCTACTGTGGGGGAAAAAAGCTGAAAATGAGTTTACTTATCTTCATTTCATATTGAGTGCAAAGTAGAGAACCTATGAAGACCCATAGTCATTTCAATATAACAAAGAAATAAGCCCAAAAGATTTTACCTGTCCCTGAACTATTTTGTGGTCATTTATAACAGTTTTTGCAAGGAGGTTTTCTTATTCATTAATTAGTATTCATTCAAGTGGCCAGCTTTAAATTACCAATCAACATTCCTATTTATTTTGATGGAAACAAACAAATAACAACAGAAATCTTTCGCTGAGGCCTGGCAGTGGTTTTCGGTTAGCCAAGGGATGTACAGTTTTAAAGATGCCTAATTCCCAGTATGTGTAAAGAGGAGTTGTTTAAAACCAAAAACAAATGTTTCATTGTCATCAGTCATGATACCTTAGCTTTACCTCAGAAAACTCTATGTTCAGCAAGCCTGTTTGGCAGCTTTTCTGGAGATCATAAATCAAAAGGTTCAGAATAATTGTCAGCATTTTTTGTAGTGAGGCCACTCCTCAGGTCTGTGCCTCACTGAGACAGTCCCTGGGATCAGACTACGGCTGAGGCAGGAACAAATGAAGGCAGTAATGACACTTGCTGCTACTCTCTTTAGGGCCAAGAATCCACCAGAAATTCAGAATTTGATAATTACTTTTTGATTTACAGATACACACTCCAATAAACTGACTTAAACTAACAATCTTATCACCTCCAAAATGCAGATTATACCACTGGAACTGTAAAAATATGAAGTTTTACATGATACCAGTTATGCTCCAAACTTCCACATAGGCATTTATTATGACAATTCTGCACTTGAGTTAATTTCAGACACTCTACTCACAATAAAAAATTCTTTGGCTTTTGACAGCTTTACAAAGGAAATGCACTATTCACACTGTGAATAGGCGTACGTATTAATTTGCCTTTCAAAGCGTGTGCAGTCCACTTTGCTGCTGATAATCTGCATAAAACTGGATTAATGAATCAGGAATTCTCGGGGTCACAATAGTCAGCGCGTACCGAAAGTGCTGTCCCATGATAGATTTGGCATGTATGTCTTCCTGAAGAGCTAGAAGGGCTGCTTCTCTGCAGACCGCTGTTATCTGCAAAGAAACAATAAAGAAAACCCCCACAGAAAATTACTATTATAAAATACATTACTTGAAAGGAAGAAAGCAAACACAAGACACCAACATACTCTAAATGCCAGATGCTCACATGGTCAGATTTTCTCCAACTATTTTTAATAAATGATGTTGTGGGTGATTAGGACATCCAAGAAACAGGATATAGCTCAAAATTGAAACCACAATAACATTACATTTCGTATTACAGGATGTTGCAAATTAACTTAATAATCATATTACCTTGTGTTAAACTCCACACGACACCTGATAAATTAAAGCCCCAACAACAAGCGATACATTTTTCTGTCCCTAAAGCACAGGAGCAGATATTCCCAGGTTCTGTGGGCACTTTTCTTTCTCAGCTTTACACTGGGAAAGAAGTAAAAACAATTAATTCCAAAAGGCAGGCTAGAAGGAGAGAGCAGTGGAAGGGGAGGAGGGTTAGGGTCTCATAACCTGCAATGTGTTTTTAAGCTCTCTGGACTTTAGACAGCGGAAACAGACTGATTCCAGTGTCATTCTAAAGACACATTACTGTGGTGAAAAGAGCTTGCAGAATGAAAAGAGATATTGTGATTTCCAGTGCAACAGGGAAAACAGTGATTGATATTGACTGCTCCCTTATATCTGTAAGTGAAAGAGCCAGCTGAAACACATTTGTCCAGCTATTCAGCATATTTTCTCTGTTTGTTCACTTACTGAAAGGAGTTCCCCTGCTTATGCTGTGCTAATGGTTGCCAAAGCTGTTTAGTAGCTTTTCAGAGGATTTAGCAGCATGTTTAGGAAGCTTTCAAGAGAAAACATGCATGGATTTAGATGGCTTTGTCAAGTTACAACAATATTACTGTTAGTTCTGTGCTGCTCTAATGAGCAGTGAAGCTAAACACTGCTCTTATGCATTTTAATGCTTTTCAGGACTTTAGAGACAGCTAAATGTGGAAGTTAAATGTGGAAGCATAGCTGAGATTTAGTGCACCAACTTCTTGCAGAGGTAAGTAATACATCATCTGGAAAGTTAACGGAGGGATACTGGTCTTCCTGTTCAGGTTTTTCTCCAAGTAGACAGTGTGACTATTTCCCTATCTCAACACAAAAATAAATCTACTTAAAGAAAAAGAAAAAAACCCAAACTGGATCAAACCTCCCTTCCCCCATCCATGTCTAACACCAAACCTAGAAATCTTTCAAAAAGGAGAAGACTTGATGGAAAAGCATCTTGGACTCTAAACTTGTGTCGGTCTTTGAAGGAGGGGTCCATTTCCCCTTGATAAATAGTGCAATAAGGCAAGTTTTACATAAACGAAGAGGAAGAGACCTGCTGGGGGTTTCTACAGGCATCATTATAAAACCCAGTATGTACTACAGCAAGTTTTGACTGCTGTATTCTGCTCACAGAGTCCATCATCGATCTATAACATCAGAATTATGAAGGAGGGTATCACTACAGCACAAGACGTTCACTTTTTTTGAGCTGATAGGTTTTATTGAAGGAGAAGCTGAAGGAAAGACTCAAGTTGCCAGATCCAAGAAAGAAGGAACAGCACCGCCAGTCTCATTTATTCCTGTTCCATTTGAACACTGATACTCTCAGGAGGAATATCAGCCCATATGCTGATACCTCTGATGGTGCTTTTTCTCTATGCTTTCCCAAGAGTATCAGTAACGATGATGATAATGAACCTCCAAAGGGTTTTTTGGTTTTAATTTTAATCTTAAAGACTGAACTAAGTTCTGCTATTACTGAAAACTACTAGACATGAGGAAGCCCAAGAAAACTGATAATTATTTTTTATTTTACTTCCCAGGAACATTTCAGCTGCTTTTAAGGAAAGAAGAGAGAATTTTAAGGCATGAACTATCATTCTCCCTTTTCCTGGCTGCACTCAGAATTCTTGTGGACTAAATATTTTATGTATTATTGAGTAATAAACAGCAGGCATTCTGGCACAGTGTTTAAAATTTGGGCCCTTGTGTCTGGTCACAGAAGTCACATGGCATTGTTTCCATTCCTTGGCTAACCCAGAGTATCAGGTTTCTGAGGTAAGAGATTCAACAAGGCAAGTGTGATTATTTTTCTTCATTCAAGTATGCAAACTTAAAAAAAAAAAAGTCCTCACCAGCATTCTCACTAGCTAATAAAGCTAAATCACTTGTGGAAAGCAAACACAAGGAGTAATACAGCCACAGTGAAATGAGAGCAAATTCATCTGGTGAAATCTACTGTGTTATTGGCCTAAGGTCTACTAGTTTTTCATAGATTTGTCATAGTCATATTAGGGCATTTCTTACCACACCAAGCAATGGAAGGGTTTTTAAATGTCATTTCTGCCAAAATTTAAAACAAACATAGATTGGGTCAAGTGAGGTAAAGAGGGAACACAGCAAAAAGGGCCAAATTGACAGCAGAGGAAGGAAGAAAACCCACGGCTTTGCAGCAGGGTACATATCCATCCCAGGCTTAGTGACACTCCAAAACCAGAAGCTGCATCTAGATCATCAGTTTTAAAAACTTGCAGCAGACCTATCCTCAGTGAATTTGTCCAATTACTTTCTTAAATCACTTCTCCTTTTGGCCTACACAACATTATCCTGTAATGTTCATAGTCAAACCATGCATTCTATAAAAAAGCATTTTGGCTTGTCTTAAACCTGGTAATTTCAGCAAGTGCCTCCTAGTTCCGGTGTTACAAGAACAGTGATTCATCTGTTGCTTCCCATTCACCTTCTCTGTACTGTCAATGATTTTACAGTCTTATCTCATCCCCTCTCAGTCAAGTCTTTGCAGAGTCCTCAGTGATTCAGTTCCAGCTCCTGCAGAACTTGGCCATCCTTCAGCCTGTCTGCCATGTCGCCTTCACTAACTAGTTCTTCTCTGTTCTTGTGCTGTTGAGCCACTGAAGCCACAGGGCACAGAGGGAGCCATACCATGGCAAAGCAGTGTTCCTGGGTTCCCTTTCTATTACTGTATCTGCCAACATATTAGTGCCAAGATGATTTCTCTCAGATTATCCACACTGCATCCAGTATCTTTTCCTGAGTGACAATATCTAATTTAGGTTGCATGCTTGTGAATTTGAAACCTGGGTGATTTTTCTCCATTGCATTTATCAGGATGAATAGCCTCTGCCTGCCTCTATAAATGAATGCTGTGAACCAACATTACATATCTGCCAGTTTTAAGACAATGCTTAATGATGTTCAAATACAAATTCAAGGGATCACCATTTTTACCTTTTCAATATTAAAAAAGACAAAAAAGTGAAGTCTTTTGCATCTCTGTGTGTTGTGAGGAACACGAATAATGTCCTAGTCCTGTTCCAAAGGCAAAATTGCACCTTGATGTATTGAAGGACAAAACAGATATTCTTGACTGCTTCTGAATACAGGGTGGCTTTCAGCATTGACTGTTAACGCAGTAATGAAGACATTAAGTGATTGACAGAAAGAAGAGTGATTAAACAGGCCAGGCACCAGGTAATTAAGCAATAACTACTGAGCTGTGGGGTGTTATCACAGAGATGAACAGCCAGCCAGGTGTGGTTGAATACTACCGAATCCAGGAGCACCAGAATACACCCTAGTTTGATTCTTAATTTAAATTCTAAATCAAAGTTTAACAAACACAGTTCTCGTTTTCAATGGAATGAGAGCAAATTACTGATCTTACATTAGTCTGCTGTCTGCAGACCTCTTCTAGTGTGGAAGTAATTTTGAATTCATGTGTTAAAACCATATTTTTATAAAGGACTGATTTATCATCTCAATGAGTGCTTTAAGATCAGAAAATAAGCAACTAATTTAGAATCCCACTTTAGAGTCAAAAAGGCAACTGTATTGAGTTGTCCTGGGAGGAAAGGAGAGTGAAAATTTGCTATCTTAACCACCAATACACACACTGACCAGTAATAAGCAAAGCCACACACAAGCTCACAGCTAAGGTGCAAATAACTGAATCCCAAAGGAAACTGATTTGCACCTAGTCATACTTCCCCCTCACACTTACTCCCAGCAACAATAAAATGCCCAGTTACTGTTCCCTGAATAAACAGTATTCAACATAACCCATCTTTCTCTCGAAACCATTGGTTACACTGGCTGATTCAGTTTGGCTGACTCTCCCCCACTCTGGCATTAAGCATCGACTCTTTCCAGTGGACTGAAAGTCCTTTTCACTTACTTTGTATTTAAAGTGTTCTAAACAGCTTTAAAGAATTTTTTTTTTCCCCTCAAAAAAAGGAGGAAAAAAGAAATGAGCTTCTGTGTTAAAGCCTTAGGTATTTTCAAGAAAGTGGTTTTGTAAGTGCAGAGTCTGTTGGGAACACCTGTGAATGTCGGGTTTAATTGGGCTGCAGCTGGTGTCGATTGTGTGCACCCTAACTGGCAGCCACTGGCTGGCTGTACATTGTGTTTCATTTTCCTTTTTCCTTCCTTTTTAACTTGCTCCTCCACCCCCCCCAGTTCAAGTTGTAAGGGATTGTGTGTAAGAGGGATTAGGAGCCTGGAAACAGAATAGTACCCTGCGGTTTGTGAATAGTGCAAATTGTGGCGCTTCCTGGAGGAAAACTACCTGCACGACTGCGTGCCCATGTGGCGTGCGCCTGCTAGGCAGTGTCAAAGGGACACTGTCTATAGGCTGGGGAGCTTACTTTCCCGCTCTGTTAAGGAGAGATAAAAAGTTCATACATGGCATTTAAAAAAGACATAACTCCTGGGTCAGAACATCTGTTTTTCACTCAAGCAAATGCCTACTCACGACAGGCATCTTATCTTACTCCTGCATCAGAGGCTGCTCTATTGAGAGCAACAGCCTTATCCACATAAAACCAGAGAAGTTGGAAAGCTCTCAGGACCCTGGGCCACCACCTGATTGAGGAAAGATGTGGGCATAGCTGTCTTTCCAAAGTGAGACAAATCAGAAGATGCACTGTAGTCAGAGAGGCCAAAGGGAGTGGCAAGTAAAGGTTGCTGATGGTATT